AGGCCTTACCCTCAGCTCCTGTATCCTCAGGATGGGCTGATCCTCCCCAGCACCCTGCCTCCATAGGACCCAGGAAGGGGGCTGGTCATACCCTGAAGAGTGGGGAGGAGGCTCTTGTCTCTGAGGCCCAGGCCCACAGGGTGCTAGTACTGTCCTACAGGGAAAGGGGAGAGGAACAGAGGTGCAAAAACCATCTGCACATGGACACCTAGCCCCAAGAGCCTGGGCTCTGCTGCCCCTGCCCCCACCACTTGCTGACCCCTACATAGGCCACTCCAAGTCCCTGTGTAGACCCCTGCAGTCACAGACCCCAGGAGAGCAGGCAAGTGCAGAGAGCCTTCCTGGGATCATCATCCACCAGGATGGGGATGGGGCGCCTGAGTGGGAGCAGGGCAGGGAGGGCTTCCTGCGGGAGGCCTTGGCTGCTGCAGTGTGGACCAAGGCACAGAGCCTGGGTCAGGGGAGGAGGTGGAAATGCTGGATAGAGAGAGTCCTGAAGCCTCTTGCCCTCTTTGGCATTCTTCTGGGCCAGGCCCTTGGCTCCCTGGACTCTCACTGCCCACTGAGGGGGAGAGGCAAACATGGCCTAGGCAGCAGCCTTCTGCTTTCTGTGCGGGTCACTCTCACATAGCTGCCCCTGCCAGGCCCCACCCAGCCTTTGCCTGGCAGCCCTGCCCTTTCTTCTGCAGCCTTGACACCTGCAGGGGAGGGGCAGCAAGCATGGGAGGAGCCTCCAGGTCTTCCCTTCAGTAATGTTGCCTCCTGGCCCCACAGAAACCACTTATCATGGCTTGGTCACCACGGCGACAGCCAGAGCCCTGCTCTTGCTCTCTAGTGTGCCATTTAAATTCACTCTGGGTGCTGCCACCATGAACCTCCAGTGGGGGGACAGTCCAGGGATTCTGGGGCTGGCAGAGACTTGGAAGCTGTGCCTCTCAGCAGTACATGGAGCAGGTGGCCTGTACCCCTCTCCAGCTCATGGGTAGGGGCCCAGGAGCACCGCCAGCCATACCACCGTGAGGGCTGAGGACTGTTCATGTCATGTCCACACAGTTCTTCAAAGCCCCTGGAGGCCACCAGGCAGGACCTGGAACAGTGACCCCTCAATAGCCTGCAATCCCTGCCTCCTGGAGTAAACACCCCAGGGGCCAAGTGGCTGGGGTGGGGTCACCAGTTCCAGACCCTTGAATGCCACTACCAAGGGGGGAGTCAGGCTGCCTACCTGTCCCTTGTCCTGTCACTCTGTGCAGAGCTGCTGCCCCATGTTGGCCAGGTGCTGGGGGGTGAGACACTCTCTGCTGTCCCACCACKCCTCGCCCCTCACCGCTAGTGGCAGATCATCACCAGCTCTAGCAGCAGAGTGTCTGCGAAGAGGCTCAGGAGATAACAGCCCCTCTGGGCCTCTGCTGCCAGCCTCATTATCACCTGCAGGCTCAAGCTGCTCTGCGCACCCTGCCCATCAGCACRCAGGGCCCTCGTCCCTGGTGTGGGAGAGCAGCAGGCTGCTGGGCTGAGGAGTGTGGGGGTGTGGGGGCTGTTCCTGGGTGAAGCTCTTCACCCCGAATGCTGGGGYGGGGGTGGCTCAGGAGGAGTTACTCTAGTCACACTGTGTGTTCCGGCTGCTCAGGCTCCCGGGGCCACCGAGGGTTTGTGTGCATTTGACCCCACACACCCGGGCTCCATGGCAGGTGAGCCACATCTCCAGGGCCTGGTTTTGCAGTGAGGCCGATGGCAACATGGCAGTGGGATGGGCTTCAGCCTGGAGCTGCCTGGCCGGACCACTGGGGTCTCCTACTCTCGATGAGTGCCCTTTAGACTCCCGGATTGTCCAGCCCCTCATCCCTGAATCCATCTGGTCACAGAAGGTCCCTCTGTGGATCCCCTTCCTGCTGAAGAGATCACACAGGGGTCCTAGGGAGGGTGAGAGAAGCTCCAGGTGACTCAGGCCTCCACAGTAGCCAGGAGGACAGGTACCCACCTTGAGCTGCTCCTCTGCCCATAATGGGCCCAGCTTGCTTCTCCTTGGACAGGGGRCACTCTCTGCCACCCAGGGGTCTGCTAGGACCCCATGGCTTTTCTTGATCCCAGGAGGACAAGGGTGGAGAGGGAGGGCTGCTCCCAGCTACAGATTTGACCCCCCCCCCAGCTCTCTAGTGACCCTGTGCACTAGAGTCAGCTTTGCTTCATACAAAGCATCATCCAGCCATACCTGGACATAGCTTCCTGGCAAATCAAGGCATCGCAGCCCCCTTCCAATCGCCTGCATTCCCCTATCTGTGCACCCCTGACCAGGCCACATGGTTGCTCTCATAGGCAGCAAAGAGCTGGCCCTGGACCGACCTTAGGGCCTCTGGCTACAGAGTCCATGGTCTGTCCTTCCCCGGGATGGCCAGACTTGGGCAGCTGTAGTGGACTCCGACTCTATGCATGTTACCCCAGAACCCATACCAACTGTCTGCACTCAGGCCACCCCGGGGTGGGGGCCATGGGCCACAGAGCCCCCAACCTCCTAGGCACCAATAGTGTAATACTGACACCCTCTGAGCCCTGCCTGCTGCCTAGGTAGGTCCAAGTGTCCTCCTGGGGACACTGGCTACCCCTTGCCAGTGGAGAATCCCAAGACCCACAGGGGTACTGACTGCAGAGGTGTCAGGGTACTGAGCCTGGCATCTGGCCCCTCCCTGCTGACACAGGCTCCCATTTCCATAGGAAGAAAGCGTCACCCTCCAGGATCCTGGCAGGTGGGGGCAGGGGGGCAACCAGCGGGGACACAGAACCCCCTTCCACAACACTGCAGGATGTCTACCTCGGGGACCATGACGCCCAGCCACGCTCTCCAGTTGTCATGGAGATGACAGTGTCCGTGTCTGAGCTAGGGCTATTTCTGTCCTGAGACTCATTGTCCTGCCCCCGCGGAGTCACCCTCCCTGCAATGGCCCCTCCCTGCAGAGCCCCAGGGTGCATGTGCTGCCCACTAGCTCCTGCCCAGACACTCTCCCAGGCAGGGTCCAGGAGGACTGGGCCCCGAGGGCCACCAGACCTGAGGGGCCCCAGGCCCCTTCCTGGGCTTTTTCTCTCCCCTTGAAGAGGTTCTTCATCCCCACTGGCTCTTGGGGGGTCCTTGGCCAGCCCCACAAAGTTCAGGGTAAGGGTCCATCTCTCATTGGGGGCAGCTCTGCTGGTATCGGGAGCACTGAACAGTGGTGGGGAGATGACCCTGAGCCCTGGTACATGGCTGAGGCTGGCAGTGTCCTCTGAGGCTGGAGTTCACCATTTTGACCAGATAGTGACCTTCTCAGCCACTCCAGAGCTGCCATTGGTGCCCAAGTCTCAGAGACAAGGATCCAGTGTTCGGGAACCCTAGGACCTTCAGCACTCCAAGGGCAATGCTGGGGCAGCACAGAGAAGCCCTGTCCACCCCACCCAGCTYCTGTGGGGACATGGTGCCTCCTGACGTCTACAATCCAGGCGAGAGAGCCACTCGGGGGGCTGCAGGCCAGGGTGGGATGGGCGAGTCAGTCATGGGGCTTCAGATCTTCACACCTTCTTCTGTGTTGCCACAGCCCACAGTGGGTGAAGACAGCTGTCCCCAGAGGGGGCCACCAGGCCCTGCTGGGTGCCAAGCTGGGGTGTGAGCTGTCACCTCTGAGGCCAGCAGCCCTGCGCTGGCTTTTGCCAGCCTTCGACAGCCCCTGCCTACCCTCCAGCCTGCAAACACCCACAGCTGGGTCTCCCATCCCCCACCACTGCCTCCCGCTCTTCTCTCCTCCCTGGTCATCAGTGTGGACAGCCAGGGGGCAGGCTGGTGGGGGAGCTGGGCCAGCCAAGCAGAACCAGCAGCCAGGGATGGGCCACCCCAGTTCTCAGGCTACTCCTGCTGCCTCTCCAGCAGGCAGCCTGGCTCAGGGGGAGTCAGCCCTGGGGAGTCACCATGTCCCATGTCCCAGGTTGTGGGGCCAGGGCCCTGTGTGGAATTGATCTTTGGCTAACACTGAACACAGCCCTACCTGCCACTGACTGGGGAGGCTCCACTGCTGGGGGTGGGGGGCATGGCACCAAGGGGCACTGTCATTATCCTTAAACGTCTGTCCTCGTGCCAGGGCTTCTGGGGGTTTCATGGAGGAGTAGGGGCAGACACCACAGACCCCGAACACAGTCTACTCTCCAGGGCTCCCTCTGTCCATGGCCAGACGCTCTCTGTGTCACCAGGTGGGTTGGTGGCCCAGATAGCCTGGTGCACATGGGGGCCATGGCCTGGGCCCCCCACACTAACACGTGGCCTTCAGCACCCTGCCCATGCTCTGCCTGCTCCAGTCATCCCTCCCCAAACAGGGAAGCAACCTTGGTTTCCTGTGGGGAGCAGGCTCCAGCCTGAGGCGCCACCCACCAACCTGCCTGCCCAGGCCACCCCAGGCCCCTGCTCATGAGGGCCACTAGGTTGGGCAGGAGGAGCTGGAGCCCTGGCAGGCTGTGCAGCCCTTTGGGGCAGGTGACTGGGGGAGGCCTGGCAGTGGGCAGGGGGCTCTGCCTGCGCCTGGCCCAGGGGCAGTGTGGAGCTGCCCTCCGCCTGTTGGTCTTGGCCATCCCGGGAAGCCGCAGGCGCCAGGCAGTGTGAAAGGCTCCTTTCACAGACTGCTGCAGGACTGTGGGAGCTCACGGGGCTATAGCTGGTAGCGCTCGYCGCTGAGAGGTAACCGGACTGTGGGTTGTAGCAGATAGGGGTCCCCAAGCTACTGGGGCAGGCTGTAACCCCCATAGCTGTTCCCCACCCATCTGCCTGGTCCAGGGTGCTCTGGGCTCCTGGACTCTGGGCAGTCAGGGTGCTGCAATTGGGGGAGCTGCAGCTTGGGAGGGCAGGGTCCACAGGGTGCACTGGGCAGAGCAGCCCTCAGGCCTTGGCTGGGCTCCCACTGCAGCCCTGAGGCCCTGACCTGACACACTAGGGGCTCTAGCAGGCTCCTTCTCAGACGCCACTCTCCCCCACCCCAGGTCTGACCAGGATGGCAGCCCCCGCCCTCATGGTCCTGGTGCTTGTGCTGCCTGCAGGGGCCTGGCCTAGCCTGGGCCTGTCCAGGAGGCCCTGTGTGCACTGCTGCCGTCCACCATGGCCCCCTGCTGCCGCCCCTGGCCCACACATCCCTTTGAGTGAACAGGCCCCGTGGGTGGGGCTGCCCCGTGTGCGGCCCACCATTGACATCTCTATCCTCAAAGGTGAGTGTGCACAGRGGTGCCACCTGAACCCAGCCTCTGCCCCACAAGCAAGAAGCAGGCTGCTCCGGGGGACTGAGTGGGTGCTGGGACTCTGGGGCAGGGAGGGTCCTGAGGCTGGACAGCAGGCTGTGCTTAGCTCAGACCTGGGTAGGAACTTCCCGGCTCTTGCTCTGCACAACCCAGCTCAAACCCTCCTCTGCAGCTGCCTCAGCACGGCGGCCCCTTTGGCGAGTGGTTTCTCACTGTCCTGAGAAGCAGATTGGGGCCCTTACAGATGAGGAAACTCAGGATGGGGAGAAGTGAGGCCATGGCCTGGGTGGCCTTGAGGCCTGGAGCCCCAGCCTTGGACCTGGCATGGAAATGGGGCCTGCGGGCGGCGGGAGGTGGGGACCGCGCTGACCCAGGCCCTGCTTGCTCCCTGCAGGAGAGAAGGGTGAGGCAGGGGCCAGAGGTCATGCAGGAAGGAGCGGGAAGGAGGGTCCCCAGGGCTCCTGCGGCCTGCAGGGCCACAAAGGCCAGAAGGGGCAGATGGGGTTTCCGGGTGCCCCGTGCCAGCATGCCCACGTGGCCTTCTCTGTGGGTCGGCGTGAGGGACTGCACAGTGTGGAGGACTTCCAAGCRGTGCCCTTTGATATGGAGCTGGTCAACCTGGACGGCACCTTCGACCTGGCCACGGGCCGCTTCCGCTGCAAGGTGCCGGGCATCTACTTCCTGAGCCTGCACGTGCACACCTGGAACTTCAAGGAGGCCTACCTGCACATCATGCTGGACCAGCGGCCCATGGCCGTGCTGTATGCACAACCCAGCGAGCGCAGCCTCATGCAGGCCCAGAGCCTACTGCTGCCACTGGAGGCCAGCAGCACCGTCTGGGTGCGCGCATGTTCCACCGTGACCAGGACAACRCCATCCACGGAGAGCCCGGGGACCTCTATATCACCTTCAGTGGCCACCTGGTCAAGCCGGCTAGTGAGCTCTAGCTCATGGTCCCGTGGCCTTCACTTCCAGACCTCTGCCCAGTGCAGGGATTGAGTGGCTGAGCACTGGTGTGTGGGGAGAGCAACTCAGCACTTGGCCTGTCCTTGTGAGGTCTTCCACAGATGGAGTGGCCACACCCAGTCACAGGGGGCAGAGGGATATCATGGGCCTGGTCTACCATGGTGGCTGGGTGCCACCGTGGGACCTGTTCTATCTGCTCATAAAGGCTATGCCAGGCCCCAGGGCCACACACGGGCTTGCTCTTTGTTGGGGGTTCAGAGGCACCAATGGGGGCTGGGCTGGGCTGGGGGAGGCCAGGGRTCGCAGGAAATTGCTGGTCTTTGAGGGACCAGATTCCAGCAGAAGAAAGACAGCAAACTTCCTGGGGTCAAGGGCTGCACGAGCAGAGAGGGGTGCTAGCCAGGGGTGGGAGGCTTGCCCTTGGGGTGAAATGTGACTGAGCACTGTAGGGCTGCTTTTCTGGGTCTCCAGGGTCCCCCGTGTCTGCAGAGGGCTGGGCTGGGGGGAGTTGGCACTCCATGCCGCAGAGCTTGGAGCCAACCCCAGGTCACAGGTGACTTGGCCAAATCTGTGGGAGCAATTATAGGGGTCCATTTGGGAAAGGAGTGTGGGCTGTGTCTCTCTTTCCTGCCCTTGGGGTCTGGCCAGGCTAGGTCCTGGGAACCTCCATCCGCCCCCAGGTCTGGAATCAGACTTTGCCTGCCACATGTCCCCGCATGACCTTCCTAATTTCCTTGGCCCCTCTGGCCTCTCTCCTGCTCTGACCTCCTCCTCTCTGGGGCCTCCTTGTGTCTCTTCTCAGGGGCTCTTCCTTCTCCCCATCCCTAGCCTGTGTTCTCTGGCAATGAGACCACAGGGCACTGGCAGGAACAGCGTCTAGAATCACCAAATGGCTGAGCTGGCTGACACTCTGGGAAGGCACACAAAGCTGCAGGCCAGGGTCTGGAAGGTGGCAGAAGGCAGCTTCTGGTGGCCAAGGAGCCCCTCTCCCCTTGGGAGGCACTAGTGCTAGGTTCCACGGACGCTGGCCCCTTGGGCCTTGTCCATTCTGGAAGGCCCCTGGCCTGAGGAGTACCCTTGTCCTCTCTTGCCCTGGCCCCACTCTCTGCCTCCAAGGGCCTCTGACTGGGGTCAAGAGATGAATCCCAACCAGCTGGGACTTTCGTACCTCGGCCCAGGAGGCCCTGAGGGGACAGGCTCCTCCTTGGCCACCAGGGCTCACCCCAGGAGTCGGGCCCCACTTGCCCCTTACACAGCATGACCTGGAGAAGATTCTCCTATTYTCCTGACCTGGTGTGGGGGACACAGCTGGAAATAGCAGCCCTCCCGGTCACCATGGGGCCAGTGGAGGGGTAGACGCCAGTTACCTCACAGGCCTGCAGCCCTGAACCAAGGCTGGAGCCAGAGCCAGTAGTCATTTTTTCCCTCCTACCTGGTGGCCCAGGTGCAGGGACAGTGGGCAGAGGTGGCAGGAGAGGCAGCCGGGGCAGGGAGGCAGAGCTGCAGAAGGTTGGCAGCAGCTGCCCTACCAGGCACAGGGCACTGCTCCCTTGTGAGATGGGCCCAGCCCGACTCTTGGAAGCACCCCTCATCCTCATAGAGAGATGTCCACTCCACAGGGACACTGAGTGTTCTGGCTGGCTTCTGAGGACAGGTAGAGAGCTGAGGTCCAGCCAGGGCCCGCAAAGCACCCAGCACTTGCAGTTCTGAGAGTCGACCTCCTAGAGGAAGGGCCCCTGGTGGGCAGGGCTGAGAGGACAAGTGCAGCCCAACAGTGCRGAGGCAGGAGCGAGGGCTGCATGCAGCAGCAGGCCCTGAAGGGCTGGCCCCTTTGCTGTCCACAGAAGCTCATCAGTGGGGGAGGGGGCTTCTTCCAGCCGTGGCTAGAGCCTGCAGCCCCCATCCCTCCCCATCTGTAGCAGCCAGTTTCCCACCTGCMCTTCCAGGGGCCCTTCCTCCAGGCTTCCCTGGTGTGTCTAGAGGTCTTGTGAAAGTTAAGGAGGAGGCCAGGCAGGGGGGCTCTGGGGACAGGGCTCAGGAGGGGCTTAGGGCCAGGGTGGGGACTGGGGGCCAGGCTCTGGCACCTGGAAACTCCATCCCAGAGAACCAGCCCCACCCGGGATGCTGAGGCGTGGGAAGCCCCTGTGTCCTCTTATGGCTGGAGTAGCTGGACACACCTGGGCTGGTGGCAACTGGCAGGCACAGCAAGGAGCTGCCTGAATGCTAGTGGTGTGGCAGTACGTGGCGGCAGAGAGGCTTCCCTACAGAGAAGAGGTATCTACACAAGGTATCTACATCCTCCCACTCCTGAACTCCCCTCCTGCCCATCCAGGACACCCATGTCCCTACATCCTGAGGGTCAGCCTGGCCAGAAGGGATCCAGGAGAGAAGTCCCAGCCCAGTCCTGGCTGTGCATCCTCAGGCATGTTGCCTGACCTCTCTGAAGAACCAGGGTGTGTGATTGGTGCTCACAGGAGCCACACGGTGAAATCCAGGTCCAGTTCCAGCCCAGCTGGCTCCAAACATCCTACGTTCTGTCTCCCCTGCTCTGCAGCCTCCACTTCCCTGTCCTGCAGTGGGGTGCAAAGGGCCTCTGTTTGGGCCTCCAGTGCAGGTTGAGCAACCTTGCCTGGGGCTGAGCTAGGTCTGGGTGCTGGGCCTGGAGGAGCCTGCAGACACGGGGGCCAATGTGGTAGCCACTCTCCCTACTTCCACCCACTCAGCATGAATGCAGCTGTCCAGAACTCTATGGGGGCCCTGGGGCAAGGGTCCCCTTGAGAAGGCAGCCTTGGACAAGGTCTGCCAGGGCAAGGAGAACACCTATCCACACCAGGCTCTGGATGGGGGCACCCAGGAATTCTGGAGGACAGCCCTGGACCAGCCACCTTGGACGTGCAGCCTCCTTCTCTGCAGAAAGCCCCACTCTGCAGGAGGCGCTGCAGGGAGTTCCTGATCTCCAGAGCCCAGGAATTGCCCACCACCACACGGGGAGGCAGGGATGAGTCCAGACAAGGGCCCAGGTAGGACCAGTGCCAGGCCTGCTGCCAGGTTGCCCACTGGAGGGACGAGAGCAGTGGCACCTGCTGACAGTAGCACAGCTATCATGTGGACAGGCCAGGGAGGGGACCCCGTCTCTCTGACGGTGGCGAAGCGTATCTGTTAAACCCTATATGCTGGGTTAGAGAGGCAGTGGGACACCTAACCCCCAGCCTCAATGCACTTGTGGGGATGTGCTTAGGGTCACTGTCCTGGCCCAGGATGAGACAGCAGTTATTTATTTTTAAAAATGACCAAGAAATGGAAGAAGATGAGAAAGTCACATTCAATTTTCTTCAAAGTGATAAAAGCCCAAGGGGCACAGGCCAGCCCAGGCAGGTTGAGGATGGTCCTCAGAAAGAGGCTGGAGAYCTGTCACTAGCACCCTCACTTCCCATCCAGTGAGAGGGCAAGAGCGACAGCCAGGAGCATGGTGAATGCCAGCTGTGAGCCCTTGGTCCAACCAGGAATGAAGGAGGGAAGGCCGTGGCTGGGTGGCAACCTCAAGACGCTTGGGAGAATGACCGGGAGCTTCCCCATGAGAGGGACACAGGTGGCAATGTGGTGCCCAAGCACAAGGGAACCCTGGACACCTGCTTGGATGGGCCCTGAGGACAGGGTGCTGGGTGACATAAACCAGTCACAAAAGGGCCAATCCTCTGTGCTGCCATCCTGAGAGGTCACATCCTCCAGGAGAGCCACAGCCATGTGGGTAGAGAAGTGATAAGGCTCCTCTCTCCTGGGCCCCTGCCTGGCTCCAGGGGCCCTGGGCCTGAGCCCTCAGGCTGTTCAGAGCAAGGGGACAAACACAGGCTTGGCCAGGGCAGGACAGGCCCAAGTGGGGGAGCAGCAGGAGCCCTGCCAGCATAGGGCAGCTCTGGGATGCCCTCACTCCTGGCCGCCTGCTCAGGCTCATGACCCTCACCTCGTGAACTTGGGTGGAGGGGCCATGCTCTTGGATTTGCTGGCCCCATCTTGGCCTTCTCGCTGCCCTGCACTGACCAGGGGTGTCAGCCCATAGGAGCCCAGCAGGGCATGAGCCTGGGGGCCGGTCCATCTCCATCCAGGGAGGAAAAGCCCCAGGGCCAACCACTCAACTGCCGTGATCAGGACCTCCTCATACTGCTCCCGAGTGATACTTCTTTCCATGCGGGAGGTGCCTCAGGAAGCATGGGGATAGGGAGCCCCAGAGGCGAGCAGGAGAGAGTCACAAGTGGATGTCCTTACCTGGCTTCCTGGGACCCCACAGCCCCACCAACTCCCACCTTGGCAGACTCTTTGATGGGAGGCAATGGCATCCCCAGCCCCCTGGCCACCTATGCCCCATCTATTCTGCCCAGTGCCTACCCTCACCCCTGCTGCTCTCACTTTCCCCAGGACACCACAGCAGGGTGGGGACATGCCCTCCCCAGCACCCACCTGGGACCCCCAACATGAGGAGGTAGGTGGGCTGGCAGGAGCCACTGCCCAGTCCTGTGAGCCCAGACTTACTCGGCTGCCATCCTAGGGGGGGAATGCCTGCTCTGCCTGTGGGGGCTGCTCCCCAACACCCACCTTTCCTGACCTGCACCCTGCCCTGCTGGGCAAATAGAGACCTCCTGTCCCCCATCCTCGTCCCTGCCTCGCAGGCCGGATTTCCTGAGCAAGGTCACTCTGGGAACCGCTGGAGCCCAGTGGCCAATAAAACCCATCGATGCGGACAGAGCGCCCATAAAGCAGGTTGCCGCTCCCGCCCAGGATGTTTGCCCTGCACCACCCCCACCCTACTGGCCGCAGCCTGCAGATGGTGGAGGCTCTGTGTCCTCTGTGGTGTCTCTGCCCCTCGGTCACATCTGTGGAGACTGGGGACCTCAAGATGTCAACGGGARGGCAGGGAGCAGCTCAAGGACTCCAAGGGCTGTCCAAGCTCAGGCTTTTACACAGGTGCCCTGAGGTGTCCTACCTTGCCCAGACAGGTCAGGACTGGTCCCAGGGGCCATGGGCTGCATAGAACCTCCCAGAACATCCCACAGGCTCAGCCCACCATCTGAGGTCTGTCTCTCYCTCATGCCCCAACTGGAAGCCAGCATGGCCCTATGCCATGCCAGGGACAATGATTCTGCCTCTTCAGCACCCTGGGAGCCCACACTCCCCGCCCCAGATACCTGGCCTGGGCCGGCCGCCTTGCCCCTTCCCTGGAGGGCCTGCCCTCCATCGGCTCCCTCTCTCTCCAGTCTTGGTGCTCCTGATCTCTCCTGTCCTCCTTCCTTCCCGGAAGCTAGGACAGGGCATCACCTGCTGTCTGTGCTGTCCCAGCCACCCCACCCCAGGCTGGAGAGCTCGGGTCTGTGCTCCTTTGCCTCTGGATCTTCACACATGCTGTTTCCTTTGCCTGGAATGCACTTCAACGCTCCCTGCAACTAAACCCCAGTGGGCACACAGTAGGTGCACACCAGTGCTTGTCCAAGGACACACACTTTCTGATCTCCCAGGCCAGGGGCCCGCACTAGTGAGATGTGAACCAGGTTCAGCAGTGGGCCATCCCTGGAGCTCACTGTCCCTGATGGGCCTCAGGGCGAAGGCTTATGCTGCTCAGGTTGACCAGAGGGGGGTGTGCCCCCAACGAGGGGAAGACTATCAGCAAAGGCAGCCAGGTGAGCACCTGCAGCCAGGTGAGCATGTGGGTCCAGCAGGGCTGTGGGGCTGGGGTGTTAGACAGAGGGACAAGGGGTCCTGAGGCTGGTGTCTGGACAATGCTACAATTTCACAGGGGCCTCAGACTGACAAGATGGGGCAGGAGGCTTCCAGGAGGGCCAAGCGTCCTCTGGGGGGGGGGCACCTGCCTTACTGCACAGAGGCCCTGTAGTCCCTTCTCTGTGACTAGGAGCTGGCCTGCTGGGCTCCGGGCAGGACATTCTGCTGGCCCCACCCAGGGAGGGCCTCTGTCAGATCAGATCGACTGGGGAGGTTGGTCTGGGCAGAGATTTCCGAGCCATCTGCTCTCCCCCAAGCTGTTCCAACAGGAGCACCTTTTCTCCAAATCCTAGGGGAGGCCTGACAGGAGGTGGGAGCTGCAGAGCAAACAGGCCTTGGTCTCTCCCTGGATATCTTTCCCTGGACGTGCCTTGGGATGCTGGACCTGTTGGCAAGGGTGGGTTTTGCCTGTAGCCCCTGGGAGCAGGCAGAGTTCTGTGGAACCCACATTGAGAACACTTCACCTGCCCAGAGTGGCTAATCCCAGGAGGCCAGGGATGGCCAGCCCCAGCTCGGCACCCCGATGACCCCCACTTTGTGAACCCTGCTGCCCACTCCCAACTGGGCGTGGCCAACCCATCCCAGCCTCGCCTGGGTTCAGTAGGCAGGCTGGGCTGCGGGCCTCACACCTACAACACACTCTGGGTCCTGCTGGCTTCCCACGGCTTCAGGGACAATATTTGCTTTGAGGAAGGATCAAACATTTATTCTCTAATTCATTCAGGGAGCAGGTTCTCGAACACAAGTGCCCTCAGCACACAGAATGAGTGTCCAGGCTTGGCCTCTGGCAGAGGGTCGTGCCTGCTGCCCAGCAGCACCAGCCTGGCCTTTGTGCTACCCAGCCCTGCTTAGCCTGGCCCAGCACCTTCCTGCAGGGCTGCGCAGTGCCAGGCAGGGCTGCCCCAAAGCAGTGTGCCCCCTGGGGGGAATCCCAGCAAGGTCTGGCACAGGGGTGCTTGGCCCCTGCACCTGGGCAGTTCCAGCCTAGAGGGCATATTCCTCGGGGACCCACGCTTGCTGGCATTTGTGTTAACCCACATAGCGYGGCCCCTATGGATGGCTACAGGCTGCCTCCTGAGCCCCCAACCAGGCAAAAGACAGGACTGTGCTGCCTCGCGGCCCCTGACCTCAAAGACACCTCCCTGCCCCCGCTGGGCCCCTCAGACTAAACCCCTGCCAGTGTGGCCATGCCCTGTCCCTGTGGGTGCCCCTCCTCCATCCCACTGTGGAGCCCGGGAGGGTGCCTCTCTCCCCCCTGGACAGAGGTGGTGGGGGACAGGTGGGTGGACAGAGGCCCCGAGGAGAGGGTATCCTCTGGGATCCCAGTTCATGCTGGCTGCCCAAGACCTACATGGCTTTGCACCTGCCTCCCCGAGGTCCACACAGCTACAGGGCCAGCAAGGAGCTGGGGTGGCCACTGGTCCCCGGGAGATCTGGGGAGCAGAGGCCAGAGCTGAGCATACAGGGCATTGTGCTCTGTGACCAGGTGACTCAGGGCTCAAGGACAAGGGTACAAACAAAGAGTGGGCAGAGCCCCAGCACAGGCTCACACCAGTGGTCAGGAGGAGTGTCTCCCCACAGCTGGCCTCCTGGAGAAACTGCTCCCTGGCCTGGATGGCTGATGTAGGTTGGGGCCAGGATGGGAGGCGGAGATGTCCAGGCACTTCCTGGGGCATGACCAAACCCCTTCTTCCTCTCTAGAACCTGGCCTGAGCGGGAGGACAGGCCGACAACCAGCTGGTCACTGAGGCACCCATCGTGCCATGTCCACACCTGCCCTGGCCCCATTCAGCCCCATCGTCACAGGGCCACTGAGGAGTATCCATCTTGTAGCCCCAGGGCTGGGCAATGGGGAGCCTGCAGGACCTGGGCACTGCTGCGGCCTCATAGCCGGCTGGTCTGCATGCGCCCATTGGCCTCACAGCTGCGCACAGGCAGCGCCACCTCCTGCGGCCGTCCACTCTTGTCCGGCTGTGGCTCCACGGTGTCTGCATCCTCTGCACCATAGCCCCCACGGAGGCACAGAACCTTCCGGAAGCTCTGGCGGAAGTTGTCAGAGAGGAAGCCGTAGAGCAGGGGGTTGGCGCAGCTGTTGGCATAGGACAGGACCACCACGAAGAAGTAGAGGCCGGCGGAGGTGGGCTCCTCGGGCAGCGTGAAGGCCAGGTTGACGATGTTGACTATGAAGAAAGGCAGCCAGCAGCCCACGAACACCAGCACCACCACCACCACCATGCGTGTCACCTTGCGCTCCGACCGCCGTCGCCGCGAAGAGCCCACACGCACACCCGACGCCTTCACCTTCACCACAATCAGCAGGTAGCAGAGGCAGATGACCAGCAGCGGCCCGAAGAAGCCCAGCACGGACGTGTAGGTGATGAAGGCGGCACCCCACAGTCCCACTGGCTCCGGCCAGCTGAGGTTGCAGGTGCCCCATCCCTCCTGGACGTCAGCGAAGACCAGCAGCGGCAGCGACATGAGCAGAGAGAAGGCCCAGACGGCTGCGCTGGCCAGTTTGGCCACCCGCGGGCGGCGCCACCGGGCAGAGCGCAGTGGATGGACCACGGCCAGGTAGCGGTCCACACTCATGACGGTCAGGCAGAAGATGCTGGTGAACTGGTTGATGCCATCCAGCGTCATGACCAGGCGGCACAGGAAAGAGCCGAATGGCCAGTAGGAGACTGCGTTCTGTGTGGCCAGGAAGGGCAGCCCCAGCATGAGCAGCACGTCGGCCACGGCGAGGTTGAGGATGTACACGTTGGTGACCGTCTTCATCTTGGCGTGGCGCAGTACCACATAGATGACCAGTGTGTTGCCACCCAGCCCTACCACGCACACCAGCAGATACAGGATGGGCACAAGCACTGCCCGGGCACCCACCGAGGATGCTGCTCCCCCCTGTGTCCCGTTGTGGCCACCTCCAGGGGTGACCGACACATTCCAGTCCTGCATGGAGGCTGGGAACAGGGGCTCCATGGTGGGGGCCAAGGCCATGTACTGGCCGAAGCCGTCTCTAGAGAAGAGAAGGACAGGTGCGATGAGTGGGGCAGACGGCATTCCTTCCTCCTGCCTCCCTGCCCCGCCCACCTGGTGGCAGGTGAACATTGTTAGTCATGTTCAACTGGGCTGGAAATCACATTAAGCAAATTGTTTGGAAAACAAGGGAGGAAGGAAAAGCCATGTGGTCAGTAGACAGGCGTCCTGGTGAGCCAAGACAGACGTGGCTGTTGATAGCCACAGTGGCCGCTCTGTGACCTCCCACTCCAYTGGCCCTGAGGCCTCTTAGACCCCTAGGGGCAGCACAACAGGAAAGGCACCAGGTGGTCAGGGGCCTCCAGAGCAGGAYTGCAGCACCCAGCTGACCTGCAGGACATGCAGTGACCTCAGCCCAGCTCTGCTGGGAGTGGGCAATGCTGGGCTCCACAGGGCCTGGGCCTTCCTCCCCCAGGAGGCTCTGCCAGTGTCCACCTGGCTCTAGGGAATGCTATCCCTGGCACATGATGTCCACCTCCCAGCAGCCTGTTTTGAGAAGCTGTGCAGTGGCAAAGGCTCCAGAGGTCCCTATACCTGGACAGTGGCCACAGCCTGTGGACTCCAGAGAGGGTGACACAGAGCTAAATGACCTAGGAAACAGCATGGAAGCAGGTGGACATGAGAGATGTACAGAAGGTGCTGGCCAAGGACACAGCCCAGGAGGGTGCAGGACTGGGGGGACAGAGCCCAGTGGGGACAGGCACGTGTGGTATCAGTGGAGAGGCAGAGACAGGCACAGAGTACATCGACATGGCAAGTCCAGGGGTAGGCACACATCAAGGTGCATCTTTCATAGGAAGATGAGGCTCACGAGGGAGCAGCTGCCTGCCCAGGAGGAAGGGCACCAAGGGGCAGCCACTCTGGACCCACAGAGCCCCTGGGCCTGAGCCAGGGCTGCTAGCCACGATCAGTGTCCTGAGTGACCCATGCTATCTCAGACAGGGGATGCTCACACCACTGCCAGGGCTGGGGACACCAGGGATGTGGCATAGGCAATGAAGCCTGGAAGACAAGACAGGACACCCTTCTACCCTGGGGTCCACACCCACACCTCCAGTCACCTAGGTTGCAGGCCAGGCTGCTCAGCACTGGCTAGTCGGCCTGGAAAGTTGGCAGGGAGATGGGCCATGAGCTCACTTCAGGTCCAGCAGGGCCATGGGGGTTACCTGCTGCAGAGAGACTGCTTCAGTGTGTTAGGGGTCTCAAGCAAGGCCTGGACAAAGATTGTCAAGGAAATTGACTTTCTTGGTGGGAAGGTGGTAGGGATTGAATCCAAGGGTGCTCTGCCACCAAGCAGCACCCCCAGACCTTTTTATTTTTTATTTTAAGACAGGGTCTCACTTTCTTTCCAGTCTGGCCTTGAACTTGTGATCTTCCTGCCTCAGCCCCAAGTTGCTGGGATTATAAGCGTGAGCACTGTACCGTACCCAGTCCCTATAAATTTGACTTTTAAGAAGTAAAATGAACAAGTGTCTATTCTTAAAAATAATAGACCTTTGTCATGAACAAATACAGTCATTTAAATGCACAAACAAAACCCAAGCCCAGCAAAGTCCAGATCAGCTCCAGTTTGGAGAGTGTAGAACAGATAATCGGGGAACTGAATGGGGCTGAAGGAGCCCAGCACAGCAGACTAAAATATCAGCCAGGGCTACAGGGCGAAGCCGCAAAGAACAGAGAGGCGTCTCCCGCAGACATGCTGTGTCACCAGCAGAGGAAAGTCATAGCCACTGAGCAGCACAGCATCAAGGACGAGGAGGGAACCCTCAAGAAGACCAGGCGGAGACAAGAGGAAAGCATCACCTGGTGTCAGGAGTGACGGGAGGACAACGTGCTTCCATCAGCAAAGAGGAGCTGCAGCCGGGCAAACCTGAGAGACCAGGCTACCACCTGGAGTCCTCCTAGTGGAGCGCCTGGAGTCCTCCTAGTGGAGCGCCCGGAGCCAGAAAGGGGAGGACTGCTCAGGGCTGTGTTGCCCGGGTGGTCAGTGAGGCTGCAGGTGTGTGGTGAACATTTGTGTTGCAGAAACCTACCTAGCAAAAAGTCAAGGTAGATGCCTGTCGGAAATGACTGCTTTTTTAAGGCCGTGTCAGGGAGTCCCTCTGGCTGGACTCCAAGTCCTCGGGTCTGAAGGGCTGTCAGGGCATGGGACATGGTACCCGTTGCTTCAACCAGCATCTGCATGTGGCCAGGAGCGAGTCTGCCTCAGATACAGGCTGCCCTAGAAGCTGGCCCTGGAGGACAGCAAGGGGGCTTGTTTATCTGTCCCCAAGGCCTGGCCCCAAGGGCCTCTCCACATTTCTAAAGGAAGCTGAGCATTTAAAGTAATGTTTATGGCTCCCATGGACAGCTGTGGGAAGGCCTCTAGGAGGCCTGTGGTCTGGAGACAGCAGATCCTATGAGAGGCAAGGTGAGTGACGTGCATGGGCTGTGGTCACCCTCTCCCCACAACACCAAGGAAGGGCTTCTAGCCCATACCCCTGAGGCCTGAGCAGGGCAGAGATGATCAAGCAGCCCTGAAGGTGGGCTGCCCACTGGTGGGGGTGGCTCAGGTCCTTTCTGTCACAGGCCTTGGACTCCTGAACATATGTTTGATCTTAAGTAAATTCCTCTTGTCTGCAGCTCTCAGCCACTCCCAGGTGCCCCAGTTGCCCAGAACCCAGGAGAGCTCAGCAGGCTATCAGGCCTCCACTTCTGCTGCTGGTAACCACGTCAACTCTCCAGTTATACTTCATAGCAGGAAAGAAGGAAACAGGCCCCCATGCTACTCCAGCCTCTTGGAAGCTCATCCTGACAGGCCGTTAATCAGAAGCAGCAACTTTAGTCTCAAAAAGTAGGCACCTATGAAAAATTGCCCCAGGCCCCTTTCAGATGCAGCAGGAGGGAAGTGACCATGGAGCCTGTGGCACCCAGACCCGCCCCCCCCCCCAGGAGAGGATCTACTTAGCTGGCCCACTCTCATGGCACCAGGAGCAGGCCCGGCCCACACACCTGCCCCACTCTGGCTGTGTGCTCCTGAGCAAGCCAGGCTGCTTCTCTGAACCCTGGCTTCAGGAGCAGCACCTCCTGCCAACTGCAAAGTTACTGAACACATGAGATAAGCTCAGGCATGAAGACACCAGGTGTAGGGCCTGGTGCTCAGTCATTGTTCCCACAGGCCACCCTAGGTAGCTCAGCTTCTCCCCAGCATCAGGAAGGGCATCTGCCCAGGCTCCTGGGAGAAGGTGGGCGGGACAAGGGCCTGGGAACAAGGATGGGTCTCAGAACCTGTGTCYCCTGGGCCTGGCAGCCATGGTCAGGCCAGCCCCCAATAAAGTCTGCAATAGCCAGCATCATCAGGTAGCTGGAGCTTGGAGAGGTACGAGTGCTGCAACTCAGGGGACTCCCAGACCGCTGCCTCACCAGGGGGAGAGCATACCAGTGTTCTTGTGAGCAGGAGCAAGCATAGACTGCATCTTGGCTGAGACAGCAGCCTAATCCTGCCACCCTCCCTGAGGACAAGCTTCCTGACCTCTGCTTCCTCTGTTGGGACCCCCTCCCCCGCCCCCAGCAAGGCTCTGACTGTGCAACCATTGGCAACCCCACTCCTGCCCCTCCACTGTCTTTAGGGCAGCCTGGGGCCAGGGGCAGTATCCTCCTCACATTAAGAGAAACAGGTGGGAGCAGGCAGGCCAGAGCTGCACAGCCCCCCTCAAGGGCTCAGAAGGGTCTGTATGGCCAGTAGATATTTCAAGACTGCCTTCCACCTCCAGCCCACTTCTTTGGAAATTTCCATGGTTACTTTCCTGGGGAATCAATACTGGGTCATGATCATTAATGTATGGACCACCTCTGCCCCGGAGGCTCCGGTCCCACCCTATTCCCAGAGCTTGGGGACTGTTCCAACACACTTGGTAACCACAACTGGCTCTGGGTGACCTGGCTCCTAGCCTCCTTGCCCTGTCACACACCTGGCAGCTGGCAGGTTCTGGGGTGGACAGGGTCTGCACCCCACTGCAGGGTATTCTTGATTTCCTGGAGGAGTGGGTATACTTGGAGGTCATGTGGGCACAAGTGCCCAGCTAGGGTAGATGAAGCTCTGTTCCCAGCAGGCAGGGGTGCACCCCAGTCCCCCAGTTGTGAGAGGCACCTCCAGAACCCCAGACCTTAATGCTGCATCAGGCCTTGGGCCCCAGAGTTGGTCATACTCTACCTGCAGCTTAACTGCAGCTTGAGAACCCTTGGCTGAGTACATGGATCTCCACCTCCCTCCTCCTTCCCCAGCCCAAAGTTGGCCAACCCCACCTTACAAGACGCCTATCCTGCACCCTAGGCTCCTACTGCCTCCATACCGTTTCCTGAACCCCCACCAGTCCCAGCCTCAGAGCCCTCCCACCAGTCCCAGAGCAGGGCCATCTGGGTTCCTGTAGCTTCTGCCCTGACCCGGGTACTAGGGGCGGCCTCCAGAACGCAGAGGCCTGAGGGCGACGAGGGGAGGGGGCTGAGGAGAGGAAGGAGTGCAGCTGCCCAATCTGGAGAGCAGACAGAGGGGGACACAGGGCAGCGGCAGGTGAATCCTGCGAGTGTCCCGAGCTGGTTGCGTGGGCGCCTGGGCGCGCCTCAGGCACTGGGTGCGCAGCSGGTCCCCAGGCCAGGGTTGCGTGCAGAGCGCTGAGACCTTCGGAGACGGTAAAATAGACCCGAGCGGGACCTGGGCCGGGGCGCAGGGCAGGGGCTCCCGCGCGGGATGCGGTGGGCAGCGCGGCGGCACTCACCTGGCCAGCGGCTCCCTCCGGTTCCCGTAGCAGTGTCCGCGCAGCGATCGCTCCCCGCGCCGGGAGGGGAGGCGGGTCGGGTCGGGGGCGGGGCGAGCGCTGGGGGGTCGGGGCGGGGCGGGGCGAGTTCCGGGTTTGGGGGTGTCGGGGGCTTGCCTTGAGGAGGGGAAGAGACAGTACGAGGGTTGG